AACCAACACGCCTGGTGCAAATTGGCACCCGGCGGAGTCAGGACCTTGCATGCCGGTCTACGAATGTGAGTTCCGGGCCGGCTACATGACAAATGTGAGTTCAAACATGTGGAATCAACGTCCCGTGACGAGCGCATGCCCGCACAGCTCATGCCCCGACAGTCGGCCAGGATTGACAAACACAAGACTGACGCCTCAGTTTCTGGTTGCCCTCAACAGCGACTTCTCGCTGCAGTCAGATGCGCAACTCGGGTTCCACATGTATAGGCATGCGGGTGTGGATAGCTACGGGCTTGCTGTTTGTGAACATCTTGCTGTTACGCTGCATATGCCGACAAAACATGCCGGATTGTCATGTATTGTGGCAATCCTTTGGGCTCCAAAGTGGGGTATACGACGTCTGACGTCTGAGCGAGCACCAGAGTCTTTGTGGAGGCGTTAATGCATGCTTTGTCTGTATCTGCATCGTGTGTGACGGCTTCCATGTTGGTTTTCGTGCAGGAGGAAACGCCATGGCGCCTGTAATGTTGTCCCTTATCGTGGCCAGCACGTGAGCAGCTCATAGCTTGCCACTGCACCGCAGCAGCTACGCATGCTTGCTTGCGTTTACTGTGCTTCTTCAATGTTGACAAATGTCCGCGGTGGCTTGTGCTTTCGCCAGACTTTTCTGGAGCTTGCCATCTCAGCGATCTCACCCACAGATGTCGAGGCACAAGGGCGGCATCGGCAAGGATGGAACCCTGCCCTGGAAGCTTCCAGAGGCATGAGGGACCGGCAGACCGTTTTGAAGTCTTGGTAGTGATCTTCGAGTTTTTGGCTTGCGAACGAGATCTACCAGAGGAGTGCCAGACACGTGCAAGAAGTAAGAAGTGAAACTGCAGCCGGATGCACAGCGAATTCAAACTTAATTGTGCATCCGTTGATCTTCAAGCATTTGCTGTTTTAACCTCGCGTTGCTTCAATCATTGGTTTCTTGATGCGGAAACCCAGTAGGCCCGGACCAGAAACCAATGTGGAAGCAGGACATGGCCCATTTCAAGCGTGTTTCCATCTCAGAAGTGTTGATTCTTGTGATGTTCTTCGGTTTTGTGCAAGAAGAACATGAGGTGACAACTGCTGTGTCCGTTGATGGCAAGCAGAATGCTGTCATCATGGGACGTCGCATTCTCAATCGTACTTCGCTGTAGTTTCATTGCACTGAATCGCGATTTCAGCTTCGAGCGATTCAGCCCTGGTGCAGCCCAAGTCTAGAGTCTAGAAGGCTCTGTTGTGGCATGGTTTGGAGGCAAGACTTGGGAATCCATTCCAGAACGCTTTCGGCCACTGCCTGGACGCTTGAACATTGATGGGCCCTGAGCATGAAAAGTGCTCGAACATGGTCATTCTGGTGCATCGATCAAGGTTCTTACATCGGCCAAGGACGCGAACTATCCAGAGGTCGTCTGGTGATCGGTTTGTGCTCAAGAGCTTAGACTCGGACTATAACTGCTTTGGCATCTGGTTTCGCAGGGTGTGCTGGTCGCCCGGTCAGTTGCCGCTGCAGTGGAGATGCTGGAAGGTCCGGGCAATGATGGCACAAGTCTGGTGTCTGCGCAGCCCGACCTCCAATCTTGAAAGTTGCCTCACCTCAGATGCTAGGTCGGAGCGATGTCGGCGAGGTTTTCGTCATCGGCGGGCAAGCTGCCTATCAAGAGGCTAGCCAGAGGGCCCGAGAATTCTCACATGTACGACATGTTGCCAGGCCATCGGGATGGATTGCTGCATCCGCCTGTACATGACCAGAGTGGCCAAGGCATCAATGCATCCTCGCTCAATGAGGCTTGTGATCAACATGCTGTCAGGACTTTGAGTGTGACGCATTCTTCCCAGTGCTGGATGAGAAGCATTTCCAGTACCCTAGATTCATTAGTTTGCCCTGCAGCCTCCACTTGGGCTGGTGGTGTCAGCTCAGCCGCATCTGTCGGTTTCATCTGAGGATCGTCCATGTGAGTGCAACTCGGAGTAGTGGAGACATCCCCTTCGATTTCGTCATCTATGAAAGGTTGCCCGGCAAGGACATGTCAGCATCAGTTACCTTACAAACGAAGATACGGCAAGGGTGTTACCGGGCCTGTCAACTGGCTACAACCTTGACGAGCAGCTGTGCTTTGTGATGTTGTTCAAGACAAGTTTGACGTCGTCCTGCACTCCAAGCAGAGCACCCCGACACTGTCATGGTGCCTGCACTAATTTTGCAAATCCGTAAGCAACGTGATCACGTCAAAGTCATGAGGAGCCACACTGAACAGCGTGTGCATTTGCAGGACCGCAGCGCCACCGGCTACCCTTCATCGGCTGCTATGGCCACGACCACAAACACGACGATGGGTGCGTGATGCCACTCGAGCACTAAGGTGCAGCAGCCTTCTTCAGCCCTCGCAGCAGCGGGTGGTACACCCCTCACTGACTGGCTTTTGCGTTGCATTATGTCAGGATGAATAAGTCAACATCAAACTGGAGTAAGGCGCCGGGAACTATGCTCACGAGGAGTACCAATACCTCAAGGTATGGGGTTCAAGGTTTCCATGGCAAGACATGCTCGATGTTGATCAGGCCATTCAGCAAATTATCCAAGAAGGAGTTCACATGGAGGACCGCACCGGAGTGGGCAACTCGGAGTTCCTGCTAGTTAGCTAGTTTGTGTCGGGAAGCAGGCCGAGTTGCACGGCAGTCCAATTTGTGTGTCTCGGTTTGGGCTTGGACAAGGTCGGAACCCGCTCCATGTTTGGTCAGCAGATGCGGTTCAACCTGCGCAGCATCCTTAATCGCCTTACTCTAGTGGTGAGGACCGGCTTTGCAAATTTCTTGGGTGATTGCAAGGACACTCTTTCCCACTGTTGACGACGAAGCGGGTGTTTTGGCGAGGGGTTCTCGAAGAGCTGCTTTGGCGTGAGCCCCAGTGCCCCGCATTATACGTGCTAGGTGGCCCTTCAAGTTGTAGATGTGGCCAGATGCAGCTTCAGGTTCATCAAAGGTGACACGAATGCCAATCACCTGACAGAGAAAGGTGTAAGGACCCCCTCGCCTTTGCGGAGCTGCTTTCCGGTCGATTTCACCGCCGCAGCCACTGTCACTACCAGGATTTGGGAGGCAAACGGTTCGCGAGAGTTTTTGGACAAGCGCGGCCTGAGCCACCGTGAGGACGGACGGCGGTTCCAGCTGTCCTGTTCAGAGAATTGATCGATTTGTTGGTGGTATGAGGAGGGAGATCTTGGCCCAGTCTATGGCTTCCAGCATTCTCCCTCAGCTTTTGCACGGGGATGTGCAACTGCATGGTCTAATGGCCTCATAACTTTTCTACCCACCGGCATCTCGACACAAAGGTGGCGCCATTTTGGTGCGAAGTACGTTGACATGCATTCGGACTACACTGGGCAGGTACGATGAAGCTAGACGTTAGTCACATTGTGCATCGCTCCTTACCATCGCAGGGGGTGGATCAACTTGCAGAGTGCATCCGCAAGATCAAAGAAGATCCATCAGATCCAGCCTTAGATTCCGAAATCTTCAACAAAGCACGCGTGGTCACTGCCCGCTTTTGGGCGTTCTGCAAGGATCGTCGCATCCTGCTTTCTGCCTGGAACCCCGCCGATCTTCATTTGATGGCACTGCCTCCGTGCCACATGAACGCCTGGCGGTATTCTCTACAATATTCATGAGGAATGAGCCGTTTCCAGTAGTGACAGGTTTTGCCAGTTCTATGTTGCAAACGGTGAGTTGTGATGGGCTCAGTCGGTGCTGACATCAAGGTGGCAAAAGTTTTGTCCCCTTCAAGCTGTTTAGGTCATGCTTAATGTACCAGCGCTCCTGTGACATGGGCCTGGGGGTGCAGCTCTTGCGCATCATTATGACAAGACGGTACTGACATGCAAGATGCCTAAAGACGATAGCAGAAGTCCGGCGATTTGGAAGGTGCCCTTCAACATCGCCTCCTATTCCTTGCTGACCTGCATGGTTGCTCAGGCACGTTGGCTACATCAAGCATGTCGATCTTTTCCATAATTCCAATCGCCAAGGTCTGTGGCCTGAAGCCTGGCGAGTTTGCCATCGACTCAGGAACGCAGCTCAGTGTTGCAGGCGCTGTGAGTCTCGGTCTTTCAAGGTTCACACCCTCGGCAACACTCACGTGTACCAGAACCACGTAGAGCCTCTCAAGACGTGCGCTCACAGATTCCTTGTAGCTCTATGCAAGCAGCCTCGTACATGACTCCTTCCTTTAGCAAGTTTAGTGACTCAAGCAGGCAGCTTGAACGCACTCCTCGGCCTTTCCCGGTCCTGAAGATCAATCCGGAGGTCGAATCAGGGACGCTTCGGGTGACACTGTGCCCGTGCACGCTGTGTATCGCTTTGCAGGTCAAAGACATCGATGGCTTTTCGTCCTCCGACTTCCAACTTGTTGGCTACAACCCACATGGCTTGGCACCGAGACATGAGTCAATGAGGGGAGTTTGGGTCTGCAGCCTCGCTTTCTCGGGTCAGTGGGTCACTTTTTCCATGAAGTGAGGCAAAATTGCCATGGAGATGGCCGTGTGAGGAAGCTTTGCGAGTCAGGGGCAGTGTCTCCCCACGATCCTGGGAGCGCATTTGGGGCACTGTGTCAGTGAAAGGGAAAAGCTGATGGCCAGTGCAGTTTCACTGTCGTGCCCAAACATCGTCTATGTGGTGTCGGGGCAGGACATGGGGCCTGACCTCAGGTAACCTGTTTCATCTCCCACCGTTCCTACAGAATGCTTGATTGCTCGTTGACTGTTTTTGGCTTTTGCATGGAAATGGTTCAGGATGCAGGATACGATGGTCAGGTGATCCACGCAACGACTTCAGATGCGGTGCGTGGAAAGTCGCAGTATGCTGTCGCACCATCTTAGATGTTGTGTTTTCACGCACAATGCAGACTGCATGTTGCGAGTGTCCACCCGCCGGTGTTTGCAGCTTTGCAGCAATGCTTGGGAACTGCGCCTGCCATGGAGGCATCAGGGTTTTCAAGCTTGGCTTGGCTGATCCATCTCACGATGTAACGAGTTGCCCGCAGTTCACTGTGGTGTCGGCTGCCAACCTCCCGCCAAAGCCGGTGCTCGCCGTTCATGCTGGCGACGTGCGTAGGCAAATCAAGCTGGAGGCGGGGAGTGGTTGTGGCCGTGGCCTTCCTTGTGTATGAGTTTTCTTTGTACCACGCACAAGTTGAGGAACTGCAGCAGGAGATTAGGATATTAACGTTCTGTTGAGACACAGCTCGTGATAAGAAACTGCTTGAAGCCCCTCATAGACCTTCTATAGGCCAGCCTGCGCATGGTCGGAAGCATGAGACGATTACCCCACTACCGGTCAGTGAATTGCTGCTAGATTGAGCAAGCACTTCTGCAGCCGCCCAGCCATGCTGCAGAGATGTTCACAACGCTCGCAGCTGCATTCGGGGCGAGACTCGCTCTCTTGCTCTCTTGCTGCTTCAGAAGGGTGCAGTAGCCAGAAGACCACCTTCATTTTGTGTTTTGGCCCTTCTGCTAATTTGGCATGTAGGGGCAAAGGCTCAAAAGGGCAGGTAAGGATGCGCTGGTGTGGGGCTCTATACGCCAGCATCTGCAGCCTTCGTCTACTTTCCAGACTGGTTCTTTCTGCCTTCGTGCGGTACCACCATGCAATGTTCCTTAGCCATAGCCTTAGATGCAGCGGTGACATACGGAAAAGCTGCGAAATCCAGAATGTAAAGTGAATCGATCCTTGTACGATTGGCTCTTGCCCGCTGGTGCCGTGAGGATAAGGGTGAATTCCTGGATCTAAAGCCCCCAGAGACGAGGAGTTTTTCCTCCTGGAAGCACGGGCTTGTGCCCAGCCGCATTCAGCAGTGCTCAAATCTAACCACGATGCACGATCTAGGTTCACGAAAACTCACACTCTTTAACCATCTCCCTTGCACCTTCGAAGGATTTCGCACCGGCATGCATTCGCAAGAGATGACCCCTGCCGTCACTGCTTTTTGGGCCACGGCACATTCGCACAGGTGAACCACCCCTTCGTGCTCCCGGACCCTGGTGCAAAGCCAGCCCATGTAGAGGCCCTGCAGTGGCAGTCTTGGAAAGAACGTGTAGACATGCCTGTTTCAACTTGCTCGTGTCTTGTTGCATGTGCCAAGCTTGGCTCAAATTGGCAGGGTTTTAGCTGTGCATCAGTCATGCTTCCACCCAACAGCTCAGCAAGTGTCAGCAGCGACAACTCTAACAAAGTAGTCTACCCAAGTGCAGTACCGCTGACGAGTTCAAGAAGAAGGACGAAGTAGCCAAACGAGTAGCATTTTTGTCGTTCTCCCTGTCCCTGTCGCAGCATAGTTGTGCCATCACTCAGCCAGCGCCGGGTCCTGAATGTGGTGCAGACTGTAGCCTTCCACTGCTTGACATTGTGCGTGCTGCGGCTCGTTTCCACAAGGCAGTTGAGGACATGCGAGCCGATGATTCCAAAAGCAACTTGAAGTCCCTGCCGGAGGCTAGTGGAGATTGCACAGGATATTGCTCGCAGTCTCCCCGTCCATGTGTAGTGCTTCGTGAATGACAGGCAATTCTGGAGGCTGGATCGAAGGCCCTCGCATATTGCTGAAGTGGTAGAATCAGAAGCCGACAGATCTTCATCAAGCCATGGTTGCCTTCCGTGCGTCAGGATGGGAATGAAATCTCAGATATCTCTCCTGTCCGAAAAGGACTCGAGACTCGTATCATGAACGTGACAATGCTTCTTGGAATGTGCCATTCAGAAACGTACACTGTCGGCAGGAGCGAAATCTTCGTGGTCCCAGAAGCTAGATGATTTCTTCAAGGCCCTGCAGAAGATGTCGATGGGCTGGAGAACGGCTTATGTTTCGTCTCAACATGTTTCTCTTTCTTTTTATTTGTTACTCGGCTTTGCTGTTGTTCATTGTCCGCACAAGCGGGCCAGCCGAAATGGACCGCCATGAAGTTCGATACGCTTTCGTCCACCCTTGTCAACGAAGATCTCTATTGCTACTCAGGTTGTAAATCTCCGTGAGATCATGTTGACGTTTTATGACCTCAATGACCTCTGGTTAGGTCGACAGAGTAGGCAAACAGTTGTGTAAGTTGGGCTGTGGGCAGGATGTACGAACGGAATCTGGATCAGGCCACGCAGCTGGATGGTGTGACAGGTGACAGGGCACATCAAGGCTCCAAACTGGCATGAGGCGACGAAAGTTACGAGATATGATGCCAAACGATTTTTCCATAGTCGACCAGGGACATGCAGAGGGGGTGCCGGGTTCCATGTTTCAGGTGCTTGAGCATGCATGCACATGTCCTGTGCTATCTGCTTTCTCATGTGCTGCAGGATTTCTCTTCACCGAAGCAGCGCAGTTCTCAAACTTGTGGTTAGTCTGACAGTAGTGCTGCTGTGCAGCACCCCGGTCTCGAAAGAGATTATCAACATGAGATGTCTTGCCTGTGAGTCTGAAGTATTCTGGTTTGGCTGCTGTGTTGTTTCAATTTAAGTGATTGTCGGTTTTTAAATAGGGCTTGCATTCTGCTGATTCGTGACTTCTCGTCCGGTGTCCGGCCGTCTTCTGTTTCGTTCCGGTACAGCCAAGCGCTGTTGACCAGCTCGCACTATCGGCAGTGCACTGAATGAATGCCAAGGAGCTAATACCGAAAAGGCACCTGCCTCTCCACCGTCTCTTTCAAAAGGACAGGATCGCACACCGATGCATTGCGATGACTAGCCGTCTGCTCAATAGTGCTAAGACGCGACCGTAATCCAATCAACAAATATCACCTCCTGTTTTGTGTCTGCGAAGGTTTTTGCTGCATCCCCACTCATGTCCCTTGCTCGGGCGTGATGTTGTCAGGTTACAGAAAAGGGCTCGACTTTACAGACAGAGGCGCACGTGACATCAAAAAGTTTGTGGCCGTCACTCAAGCTGGCCTGGAAGCGTGTCTGGTCAGATTCGGGCTGGCTTCATCAATTGGATGACTATGTGCCCTGATCCCGGATCCACTGTGTGAAAGGGTCGACTTGCGAAATCCAAAACGTGGGCATGCAGCTGTGAGGTTACATTCTTGTGGTTAATCCTGTCATCCTCGGAAGCGCAGATCCTGACAGCCATGTCTCTACGGACCGGATGGCCCTGATTCTTGAAGTCTTGCTTGACGCAGCCAGAGATCTATGGTTGCAAGGAGACCATAATGACTGCAACAGCTGTCTCATCGGCTATCGGCTGCCTTGTAGTTGCCCTTTCTAGCCCCTGACTCAGCATCAAGTCTTCATCTACACGCGGCCTACACTTGTCGGATCTTGGTGGGGATTTCTTGAGGCGACGCCCCGCTGGGACTGATGCCCGGCATGGGTCTGAATGCGTGCGCCGTGCTTCGGGCTTTCGGGACGGGAGGCACATCAGCTGTTGCCTAGCGTGCAATGTCTGCAATTTTGAGGTACTTCTCTTTTGGAATCTGCCGGTCCTTCCATGTGACTTTTGGACAGGACTGCATGGCTCAGATGCTTCAGATTCCTGGAAGATGAAAGGGGCCTCGTCTTGGCAGGCGCTGAGCTGCTGCTTCGTCAGTGGTGCTGCGCTGCTGCCACGCGTCAAAGCATTTGGTGAATGTTGGCAAGTCTGATGCGAAGACCTTGTTGCTGCATCACGGCCATGTGTGGCCACGTCGCCACTGGCATCCATCATGCGACTTGCGACAGCGAGGTTGTTGTCTGTTCTGGGAGTGTGCCAATGGATTGTCACCACAGCCACCGACTCATGATTCTTAGCAGTCTTAGCATGTTTCGACAAAGAGGTGCACATGGCTTACTGAAGGTTCTGTCAGAGCACTTGAAAAAAGCCATCACTGTGGCCATCGGCGTGTTCCAGGCCTGGAAAAAACTCTTGCACGAACAACCTCTCTTTCCTTGGAAGTGTTGATGCGTGTGTGAATCAATCTTGCCTGGAGAAGGCTTTGATTGGCTTCCAAGTGATGGGTCTGGTTGTGGCATCGCCGAATACTTTGGTGACGTTGCTTGCCGGAATCAGATCGGAAGTACTTCCGTACTTTCACCAAATGCAAGCGAGACTTTGATATCTGAGGCTTGGTGACGTGGGATGGTTGTGTGCTAAGATGTCAGAGCTGCATAGCTTCGTGCAGTGTGTTAAAGCGAGTCGAATCAGGTCAAACAAGCAGCTTTACCTGGCCCTCATGGGGCTTGGGTCCCGGCGGAAACAGCTGGCTGTTGCGCTGCGAAGAGCGTCTCCAAAGATCCCAGTTTGCCTGTCTGCAGGTTTTGCTTGATCTCGGCGATGCTGGTCAGCAGACTGCATGGGGCTCTTCTTGTAGGTGCTCTGGGCTTTCGATGTTTTGACACGTGAGCGAACGAGAGAACTGCCAGGCATTTGTCTCATGTCCGTTTGTGCATGGAGCACCGGGTGGCTGCCTCGTCAACAGCGAGTTTCTCCTATTGGTAGAGCACTTCGCTGACTGCTCTCTTGAGGCTCTCAGACGCACCATTAGGTGTTTTCAGCCTGCCCAGGTGGGTACATCTAAAGCTGTGCATTGGCCTTACTCGTGCCATCTGACAGGTATGATGCTGGCTTTTTGCTGGATTTCTCCTGCTGGGATCCAGGCCTATTGTTTTCGCCAGAGCGGCTGGCAGTGTCGAAGCGTGAAGCAGGAAGTGGCAAGCTCCATGCCATGATCCTGGGTAGTATGGCTCAGCCCTCGCCATCCTATGCCATCGTGACCAATGTGCGTAGCATGAAAGGTCTTTGTCATTGGTTCGCGTCAGGTGCTGTTGTTCGTGGCTCTCTTCGACTTGGCCGGCGTCCAGTCCGCCCCTTTGAAGCTCCTTCGTGCTTTGCACCGTGTTGTTGAAAGGTGACTGACTCGTGGTCTTGCTCAGCTCGCAGAATTGAGGTATGGCTTGATGGGTATCGCAGGCCTACTACAAGATGGGCATGTGCCAAGGACACAGATGAATTCTACAAGGTAGTAGAGGCACATCTTTATCCTTTGCCAGGAGCCAGTGCATTTTCTCCAGCGCAGCCATCGCCACAATGACCGGACCCAAGATTCATCGATGTGTGCTGGGTTGGTCTCTGCCTCGATCTTGAGGTCCGGAGCTGTCATTGGCACCAGCCCCGTCATTATTGCCAACGAGCTCCTCGGTTGCATCAGGGAGCACAGGCGCCAGCTGTTGAGTCGCCGGCAGCACAATGTCACTCCCCTCTGCTCAACAAGTGTATCTTCGCTCACAAAAGTGAGCTTCTGGGTGGTGAGTTTGATTTTGCAGTTTTGGTTGGTGGCGCCTTATCTGCGTCTGCGTTCCATTATGCTCGTTTCTTTTCACAGTTCCCTGTGGTGCTGATGACATGCGCTGAGGGCCCCAGTACAGTCATGCTCACTATGACTATGTGATAGTGACTATCACTATGGCGGCACAAGGTCCAAGTGTTTGTAGAAGGCCGCACCCATTTTGTGACATTATTCCTCTGCGCTGTCATGTACAGGTTATCACACAATGACACGTTTTGTCCTAGGAGGTTCGGACGTGGCGAAGCACCTATGAGTAGAGGTGCTGTAGACAGGCCACCTGCATTTGTTCAGGGCGAGGGTGACTGAACGCAGCTGATGCTGCAACTCGGCATTGCTCGGCAAAAGTCGTGATTTCTTTTCTAAGTTGATGAGCTTTGTTGTGGCATGTGTCTGAGTCGCACCGGCAAACCCGGGAGCATCCCCAGAATCTTGGGGTGTGAATCTTGCGGTCATGCTGAAGCCTTTCACTTACTTATGCCGGTGCCTAGGAGCAGCGCTGGCATTGTAGAGGCAAGGGAGTGCTATGGTGTGAACGGAGCATTTTCGCGCTGTGCAGTGTGCAGATCCGTCTGCCAGGGTGCGAAGACCGGCCTTTCTGCCCTGGTGATCTCTGGTCTTTTTCTCGTGTCTGCGTCTGCCTTAGGGGACAAAGCACAACAATTTCTTCAGGTATGTTGTGCTGCCCCGCCAAGGCATTTTTGACTCCTTTGTTGAGCTCCATACCTCGAGTTGCGACTTCTGTTCCTCTGGTGGGCTGGCTGCCATGTCATCCGAAGTTGTTTGATTCCCGACAGCGCAGGTTCTGATCGGGGCCTTCATGATGGCTCCATGCAGAGGCATCTATCTGCCACGAGAAGGTCGACAGGGTACTTGAAAATCTGCAAGGTATTGATTGGGACAATCTTCGGGCAGCTATCCCTTCCTTCCTGACCATCACAGCTCCGACCTTGAATGCCTCTGGATTCTGGATCAGAAGAGAGCGCCAGAGAGTCGACTTTACAGCTTGGGCAGGTTGTGCCCTTCACATATTCGATCCACAATGGAATCATCGCAGGCAGCTTCTGCTCCTTGCGGTATGCGTGCAACGCATTGCAATGCACAGCTGAGTGTGCCGCGAGGAATCTTAATGGATGCTTTCCTAATGGTCTCTGCTAAGAAGGCCCGTCTTGGTGTTTGAAGTCGCTCCGCATTAGGACATCTCACTGCGCATTGAAGCACGCGAGGACCAGCCTCCCGAGTTGACCGATCCACATCTGGCCCAGCCATTGCCGGAACCCGACATTTGAAAGCGAAGCTGCGGAGTGCATGTAGCCTGCTCTCTGTTCTGCTGAGGATTCCTCAATCGGGCTCCAGAGTCCAGTCTCCTGTGCTCGAGAGGCCGCCCGTGGAATTTGTGGATCTGAAGACCCTACGCTTTTAAAGTTTTTAGTCCGTGCCAGGGTCTTCAGCACCCCCCATGCCAGCATGGCTTTTGCGCCGGAGAAGGCCTTTCGGAGATGCCTGGTCTGATAGATCTGCATGAAAACTGTAAGCAGCGCGAAGAGCTCTCCAGTGTTCTCTACCAGTTTAAATAAACTTTGACAAGTCAGGTCAGCGACCAGGCCCGAAGCCTAAGTGGGCATCGGATCTGCACTCTTGAGCTCAGATCACCTGACAGCAGGAGACATCTGCACGTGCCAGGTGGAGCAAGCTCAGCACCTCTTAGAGCAACTGCGGCGGACGAGGGGCTTGGGCCACTTCGTTGCATTGCATCTGGCCGTTTCCTACATCCCAGCCGGCAAGTCGCCGAAGAGCCCAGGTCACGAGCCAGACCAGGCGGCTACCGAGTGCTTTTTGCGGAGCTCATTGAAATGATTGAGGTAAATTTAAGTCTTTCCAGCCGCTGACGAGGGGAATTCCTCGGAGTGCTTTGAATTGCCGTCAGGGCGGCGGTATCGAAAGCGGAGAGGATCGTCTGCTCTCGGCTTTGGAGGCGATGCTAAAAATGTAGCGGTTCATGCGAAGAGCCATGATTTGTGTCTGTCAGGCGTACGTGCAGAACCATACTATGGTTGCGACCGGTCTACATTTGTGAGCGCTCCAGCTCTCACTTCTTCCAGTCGGCTCTTGCGGATATTTATCCAAAAAGCTGTCAAGCTGAAGCGCGCAGATCGTATAGAGACCTCGTCCTCTTGAAAATAAGTTTTGCTTCAGCTTGCCGGCGTTTGATTGTGGGTTTCACGCTCTCTACGAGACTTGCGTGACCCTAAAAGGGATCAGTGCATGCTCTTCAGGCCTTGTGAGATGTTTGTCCAGCAAAGTTGGTGCGGCCTTCTGCCATGACTTGACAAAGCTTATTATAGCAATGCAGGAGATGTCGACAGGGGGAACGGTGGCAACAAAAGATGCAGTCAAGGCCGAGAATTTGACGCCAACTGGCTGAGGACAGTGCGGCACTTCGTCCAGTGTGGGCTTCTTTCGACCGTGCTGTCAGTGTGCGAGCAAGACACTTCATATTTTTGGGCCTGCACCCAGCCCAAGTTTCAGTCCATGACAGCAGTGGTTCAGCCGCATGATCCTAAAGGGTCTTGGGAGGCAAAGCCCTCCGCTCTCGTGTCGCCATTTGCAGCCTAGGAGCCGTGGAGGGCTTGCCACCATTTAAATATCTCTTGATTCGACTAGTCCGCCAAATGCCTGAAAAAGGAGCTTGGGTTCTGGGATGTTCTGAGATTCGCCAAGCGATAAAATGCCAGCTGCCAGCCCCTGACTACTGCAGGTTTCTATTTACCAGCAGCTTGCAAGTCAGCTGCTGCCAGAGGATGGCCATTCTGAGGCCGGTGTGGCTGTTTAGAACAGGTCCCATTCTAGAAGGAGGTGGAGGTAGCTGCGGTCGTTTTCATGTCTTATTGAGCATCATGATTTCAAAGCCAGAGCCATCAAGAGGTTGCAGACTGTCGGAATTGAACGGCTTGGTGTTCTTACGAGTAGCGGGTCAAGCGCTCTTCAGCCCGCTGGCCAGACAGCGTGTACGATTCCCGTTCGAAGACCGGACGGGACTCCGACTCATGCCAGACTCCAAGTTGGGACTTACTCTAAGATGAGTACATGCATGGATGCTTTGCGAGTATCAGAGGTCAAGCTTCAGGTACAAAGAGAAGAATGGCACAAGGCTCGCTCGTGCACCGTGGGCAAGGAGAGCATGCTAAATGGCATATGTGGCGAGTCAGTTGCCTGCTTTGAGCCAAGTGTATGTACTGGCGATTCCCTGTCGAATTTTGTTCAGACCAGTTTGTGAAGTTCGTCATCTGGATGTCAAGCACAGGCCAAAGCCAAAGATTCGCAGCGCACGCCTCAAGGCTCTAGGCATTCGAGACTGTCGGCCCGTCTGATTACCTGAGTTCCTGCTGCATGAAGCCGCAAGGTGCGTCCAGGACTATCCTTCGAACATTGACGATGGCATGTGTGTGGTGCAGCTGCGAGCGTGTCACATTTCATGCAAAGCTTGATACATTTCTTGATTCGACATTTGATGTTTGTGGACCCTTCGGGTAAAGGACTACCTGGAGACGCACAAAGTGCAGCAGCGCATTCAGAATCTCATACAGGATCCGACTTGGGTGTACTTGAGTCGCTTCGTCACGATGGCATACTCTAATGCTTGCCTGCAGTCTTCCGTGTGTTCAGCTACAGTGCAATAGCTCATTTTCCGACCGCAGAAGTGCAATGGCAGGATGTGTTGCGAGAAGCTCCAGATGATCCGTATCAGTGCCCTGCAGTGAGGGATTCCGTTCCGTTCACGACTTGTCCCTTCGCTTCCGTGATGCTTTCGTAGACTGCACGCCCGTTGAGAATTTGGCCATGCGGCATGCAGGTTCATGCTGCAACAGCTCCGGGAATCTCAGGCTTCGGAAGAATTTTGAGAAGTGATTGCCAGCATGCACTGCCTCGGAGCAGTGATTATGCGTTTTTTGCGAGGCATCGACATCAAGACCTAGCTTCAGGTCCAAGGACAGAATTCCCGCAGCTTGCAGGGCTTGAAGCGGATCACCTCGTTGAAATGGAGGAGTCCTTGGTGCCACACCCTCCTGACAAGCCAAAGCCGCCAGGACCGGACATATCACGGCAGGTTAAACCATGAGCATCCGTCAGTCCGTCAGTGAATATGTCCGATTACTCGGAGGATAATTGTCAGCCTAGAAGCCGAACCTGGCCTGTGAGCTTCAGCTTCTCATGCACATCCATACAACTGGCAATACGATCTGCAAGTTTGGATGTTTGGGTCAACAGCTTGCGTGTTCCGAATCGGTACTAGGACGACCGAAAGTTGCGTTGAGACTTTGCATAAAGCTTGCAGGGGGCAGGTGCTCTGCCTGCGGGTCTCCTGCCAACGAAGACGTCCCCAGGGAGGTGTGAAAACATACCTGTTGTGATGCACTTGGAGACATGGACTCCAACTGGTGGTCACTTAGATTGCGTAGATTAAGCCTGATTAAGCCCTGACATGTCTCCCAATTGCTGAGGTCGCCGTTACTGACTGCTGTGACATCTAATCAGAACACTCCAGTGTGAGGGCTTATGTCCAATAGGCGGAGGGCCCAGCGGTGCAGTGTCTTGATCTCTTCGGGGCAATGGAGGGAATGGATGACGTTATCTTCTCGGCCAGCACTGTTGTGCAAAGGAAAAACCGCAGAGATGCGAAAGCAAAAGTAGCCAAACTTGGCAGCATCTCCTCACAAAGTACCGATTTGTCCCAAGATCTTGCGTCTTGTCGTCGGTTGTTCGCTGTTTTTATTTTTCCGCTTCTTCCTTGTCCTGTCCTTTAGTCTGCTCTCGTATTTTCCTACAGGTACGGGGACGGGAGGAAGGGCGAATGCCACCGGTTTGGGTGTTTTTTCCTTCGGTTCGGCCTTTGGGCAGAAACGATCTCTGGACTAGCAGTTCGCGCGTTTTCTCTACTGCATGACGGAGATTGTCCTCCAAGGGCTCGACACCTCTAACACTATCGCTCCTGGGTGCCTTCGTGCACAGTTAGGGGGTGAACGTAACACTTCCCGCTACGGGCCTTGGACTGCGTGGCGGGTAGCTGGGCAGTAGTCACTGGGTTCCTGCTGGCAGCTGGAAGGGGTGTACTACAGTAATTCCCTAAACACAAATTGAAACCCAAATAGAAACTGCTAGCCCTGGCCCCCCCAAAGGTTGACGGGGTAGCAGTTCAACATTCCCCATTAATGTCGGTTCTGGGGGCCGTCGTGCCCATCTGAGGGACAGTCCCGAACCTTCCTTCAAGGCTGGATCTGGACCCCTCTGTCGCTTCTGGGGGCCTGCACGCAGCTGAAGTACAGTCTCCAACCTAACCCTAAACCATGATGCTTGGACTACATTCTGGACTACTACGACAGGCTTTGCACCAGGGCATCGCAGCCCCGCAGGGTTTTGTGGTTTAATTTTTGGGGTTGTCTGTAGGCATTGTGGCAACAGTTTGCTACCAACATTCCAGATTTTTTTGCAGCTCCCCCAAAACGGGGCGCTGTGTGTGCGTACACCCTGTTCCCAAGGGGCTTCACATCCTGTTCGTGGTTCATGGTATTTCAGTACTTGATGATGACCATTTTTCGCAGGGGGGCGGAGGAGGTGTGGGGGGAGCTCCGCCCAACGAAGCTCTCCTCCACACCTCAAATTAACGTACCTGCGTTGGTCTGCGCCTGGGCCCCGTCGTGGGCAGCTGGCGGGACCTTCACCTTCATTTTCATCTTCATCTCACCTCGTGCTACATCATTTCCTGTGTCTGATGTAGCGGGGCAGGACCCTTACCCCCTACGTATCATCTCATTTGTTTTGCATGCCATTCCTTCGGTCTGGCATGCATGGCACCAAAATCATGTCATTTTCGATTCATCATCATCATCAGCATCATCTTCCTTCATCCGAGCATACAGTCTTTCTCTCGTGGATTGATTCCATTCCGTACCGATGACCGAAGATGATGCAAGTACCCAGTTTAGCGACAACCTCAACCACAGCTCGGAGGGCGTCACTTCAGCAACCTACAAAGTATTTTGGTTATTGCAACGTCTGGATGGCTCGGGGCCAAGCCAAGAACCCCAGTTCAGCTGCCGTTTGCGTGGTCTTCGTCGTGTCCTTTCCCATCGGTGTCTGCACTAGGCTCAGGCCTTGTTGGGGTTTAGCAGGTCAGTCAGGCTCATGCAGGGTTACTTTGAGCCCTTCAGCTTCGACCTTTCGGCGCATGAGGCCACATGTCAAAAGTTACCAGTGTGTGGAAACTCGAGTCCTGGGCACTGGTTGGCTTCCTTTGCATAAATCAAACGTGAATTCAACATGCCGTGTGTGTGACCACTCCCGAGTCGGCATTAGGAAAAACGGAACCTGCGTTAAGACTTTGCACTAAGCTTGCGAGGGGGCAGGAGCTTTGCCTGGGGGTCTCCTGCCAACGAAGACGCCTCCAGGGAGGTGTGAAAACATACCTGTTGTGGTGCACTTGGGGCGATGGACTCCAGCTCGTGGCCACCTAGATTGCGTAGATTAAGCTTGATTACGCGCTGACATGTCTCGTACTTCGACGACAAGCTGTGACATCTAATCAGAACGCTCCTCTGTTCGTGTGTATGTAGACATACTTTGCGGGGGGCCTTTCAGCGCAAAGGCGTCATTCATCAAATATCGAAGGCTCACAACCGCCATATCCGGCACCGAAACTTCTGCTAATGTCCCTGCCCCAATCCTTCGGAAGTTTTGATCGTGGTGCGGAAACCCAGAGTCCAGGCCGTGAGTCGGAAATCATTTTCACCAAATTGGACCCTCAAGCAGTCCGGATTGCTTACGTTGTTTGAGCCAGCCGAAGATTGACACCTAGACAATGCCACAATGCCCAATGCAATCACTGCTGCGTGCAGCCTAACGAACTCAAAAACTTATTGTCGCAAGGATCCAGGCCAGCACCTGCTGCAGGCGCCAAGCCAGGGCTGCCATGCACGACCTTGATCAAAGCTGTCCGCAGGCCGCATGCTGACGGCACCGAAGGTCCTGCCCAGCGGAACTCTGTCACGAAGGGGAATGCTCGCGTCTACTGCAGGTCCATGTCGACAAGTCGGCCTGTTGCTGAGATGCCCAAAGAATCCAAAGAGAGCTCAGAGTCAGAGGCAAGTGTTCTGTTGAAAGCTCCGAGGCTTGGAGACCGAGCATGCACATTATCCGCTCAGGCATGTGACATGCACCGTGCATTGCGCAGACCACAGTCACGTCTTGGCCAGTTCTGGAAAGTCCGCGATGCCGGGAGATTGGTCTGGAGTCTATTCTCCATGGTGTTTGTGTGGCTCTGAACGTGTAGTGAGTGCACTAGTGAGTGCGTGTGCGTGCAATTCACTCCCCCTTTGCCCTCAGGTGCCAAAGCATCTCGTGGGTCTGGCCGGGCATGATTTCGGGGGCTTCACATAGAGTCGGGAGTCGATTTCGGGTGTCGTCCTCCTGCTGGTCCATGTCGGAGTGGAGTCCCTTTTGCCCCAACTTCGAGCACCTTTGCGCACCTTGGCCAATCCCAACCCCATTCATTCCCTCTTTGACATTAAAAATATGGAAATGGGGGAATTCGAAGGGCCATGTAAAGTGGTCATAGAAAATTGCTCGACTCGCGGTAGGATGAGCACACCTTGAAACTGCGTGGGCGGGCAGTGGAGTTGCCAGGATGTCGAGGTGTATCATGGAGAGGGCTTGTACCACGGTGGCCAGCGAGGCAACGAGTTGGGACGGAAACGTTTTGATGTTCGTTCGCGCGCTCACGGGGCGTGGCGCCTCGAAGGCTTCTGGTGTCAGCGAGCTGAGAGCCATCGCCCTGACCTCGGCCTCAGCAGATCTTGGGCTCGGGGGCCAATTTTGGCCTGACCAAGGCTGGCAGTATCGTGAGAGCTAACCTTGCGACAGCTCAGCACATGGTCAAGCTGCAGGAGACAGTCGCTGTTTCCCTTGATCATTGCTGCAATTTTTAGAGCTGATCCCGCAGAAAACCGGCGTCCTCACCAAGTGGGCCATCCGTGCCTTGGATCGAAATTTTGAGGCTAGGGAAGTTGCTTGGATCCATGCACAGAGATGTTCGTAAAGGTGGCCTAGAGCTACAAAGTCGGATCACCCTACGTCAATCCTGAAGGAGTATGCCAAAACTGTTATTCCACAGCCAAACAAGCTTTAAGAGTGCATAGGAAAAAGGCTGGCCACCATCTAGAGCCTGACTGAAAAGGCGCATTGATGCAGATTGTTTTCCGGCAGGCAATTGTTCTGGGATTGTCAATGAATGCTGACAGCGGCCTTGCAAATCAGCATAAGACATGGCACTGCTAAGGCCAAACCTTTTAGGTGATTTAGGTGCGATATCTGGAGACGGAATCTGCCAAAATGGAGGTTTTGCATGATCTCAAGCGTCGACCCAAGCCTTTGTCAAGAAGGTAAATGTTGCAGGCCAACAGTCGCAAGTAACACAGCCCTAACTTCTGGTCTCATCTTGCAAAGAGCATAGATATTCGGTAAGACCGAGTGCAGTCGAGTCTGAACAGTCTCTGTGACGAGGCTGTGTCCTGGTCAGTGCCATCCAGAGACTAGGCTCCTGTTGTTCGGGCTGCCTGTCACATGCTTCCAGTTGACTTGGATCGTTTGCGCTGCTCAGCGGCCCACATACTCGCGATAGCTTTTCAATCATGAGAAACTCTTTAGCGGACGTAGCGTTGGCTTCGACGCTTGGGCGCCGCCCGGGAGCCAGCCTTAGTGTGCAATGCGCTGCGTAAGTCGTGGAAAGTGTCAGGGCAATTCCGGGCTCTGAAGATTTCGAGGACATGGCGACTGGATCCACATCGCGCAAGGTGGGAACAACTTCGCCTGTGCCTTCCACCATGTCCAGCGGCGCAGCGGAGGCACTGAAACTTGCTTTGTTCGAAGCCATCGACAAAGATGGAGATGGCTATCTGAAGGAGGCACCCCTAGTTTACTTGCATGGTCTCCGACGTGTCAATGGGCAGACTGCGACTCTCCGTCCTGATCTCAAATGCGAGACTTGCTCAGGGCGAGATGATGCAGCTGGCAAAGCTGGTAGGGTTCGATGGAGACACAGAGGAGTGGAAGAAGGACAGGAAGACTGGGGCAGCCGAACCAAGCGACCGATGAGTGATCCAATCCCGAAGGCCATTTCCCAAATTCTCCGACCGAAATCGACCGGTTACCAGGAGTATCACGCTCTTTGCACAGAAGTCAAGGCCACCTGGCTTCTGAGCTACCTTATGCAGGCTTTATGCCAAGCCTCGGAAAGCTTAGTGCTTGACATCAAAGGCCTCTGAATCGGAGGGGGTGCCCAAGGCTCGTTCTGCACAGGTATGCACAGCCGAGGCCGTAGACGTTGTCATGCGAGGCTGTCGTTCTGAAAATGCTGGATGACACGTCTGACACGGGCTGCTTCTGCACGGATGAGGACAAGTTGTGTAGGCAAGTGCCAGGCACATGGACTTTGAATTCGAGCAAGATCTTTTTGGTTGGCGGCTCTCCGGCGGTTCTATGGTTTCAAGCGGGATTCCTCACCTTTCTTATGCACAGGCAGGTTTCGTCAACTGCATCGTGTTGGCGGCGATACCCAGGAATCGAAAAGAGTCTGAAAATTCGTGGGCCATTTGCCACACTCAACGAGACTTGTCCACTCTGACGCTGTCGACAAAATTCAGCAATTCAAGATTCGGGCAGTCAAGAGGATCCGGAGTGCCACGTCCCACATAACTCTGGTTGCGGCGACTTCCAGGAACTCCAGCTCCTGTTGTCGGCGCAGCCCCGCCCCGGGGCCAAGCGGCAGAAGGAAGACATAGGCAGGGCAAAGCAGAGCTGGAAGCAGTGTGGTTAGCAGTCTTGCACTTTGCTGCTCTGCTGCATGCGCTAGCCATGTTAAGCTTTGGCCTTTTGATTAGTCTGATTAGTCTGAACGAATTGCCAGGTAATGACGCCAAGGTTCGATTTTCCGGTGCATCCTCCGATATAGCCGAGGCAATTTGCTAGAAGCGCTTGAAACCCTGGGATATGTGCTGACACGCCGGTGTCCGAAGGACACGCTGCGGAAATTCTTCGGAAGAGCCGGCGAGGTACGAGCAGTCGAGAAGAGTGCCTACATCACGGTGCACAGAATTTTTGCAGCGGGATGAAGTCGGAGGTGCTTGCCCTCAATCTGTTCAAACTCAAGGACCTCGCCCATTTGGCAAGCTTCTTGTCGCAGCTTTTCTAAAAGTCGTTTTGCTACCTTCCCACGGGCAGTAGAGAAAGGAAGCAGGCAGCAATGTGTTTTGCATCATCGTCGTGTTCGTGTGGTGTCAGGCAACAGCATGAGCAAAAGGTAATTCCCCTTTGTACGGTTCTGCAAGAGTTCATGGGACAGGTTGATGGTTCGCTTCTATGTGTCTGATAGTTCTCCTTTGCTCTGTCTGCAGCGTCGATTTCCTGGAGCGGTCTCTGCGTCTGAAATATGCTTGCTGAGAATCTTGCTGGTTGAAGGCGCCGATGGCATTCACTGCGCCCAAGTCGCTTTCTTCGTTTTGCCGTGCGAGCCAGGACGGGCAATCGCGAGGTATGGGAATGGTCACCTACAAGAATGCCAAACAGGCAGCTGGCATCAGCTTTCCAATTTGTTTGGCCGCCGCAGCATGGAGTCCGCAACTCGTGCAGGCGAAGCAGGCTTTACTCCAGCTGAACAACAACAAGGCCGGGCGAAAACTTCTCTAGCATGCCATGCAACTTTGATAGCTATTGTTGCTAAGTGTGGGCATATTTGGACAATCAGGTGCAGGGATGGACAATCTCAGCCAGAAGCCTGGACATCGGGTTATATCGGGTTGGTGTGCAAGCGAGCAGCTGAGGGTCGCATGCCTCGGACTACCCAGGTGTACACTGACCATGAGCAGCAATCTCAGATCCCACCTAGACATGGTGAGCCAGCAATACCTCTCCACAGTTTCTCAGGCAGGGGTACCATGAAGTAAGGTCTCATCTTCCATACTGAAGTAAGGTAAAGGAAGCGAAGTCGGAATGAGAAGCGCATGAGAAGGAAAGCATTGTCTGCAAGTTCGTATGCGAGGATGTGCAGCAACAACCTTGTACTTTGAAGTGCTTGAACAAGCTCCCAATGCCAAAGAAGCGACCGCCTTTCGAATTCATCCGTATCCAACTGTCCCAAAGCCAAGCTTGCTGGTTTTTGGTTTTGCTGCTTTGCGACGCTTGGTGCGACAACTTAAAGTTGCACGGATCTGAGCAGTCCCTTTGTGCGCGGGCGGTCACATAAGGGACGAGAAGCAGCATAGAGCATGAAAAGCCCTTGCCAGCTCGACAGCACATGAAATGCAGCTCACGTGCTCCCATTCTCAGGAACGACAGCACCACGCAGAAGCCGCCAGCTTTGGGTGAAACCTATGCTGCGTGGTACGGCAAAGGGACTGCAGGAAAGCGCCATGGCAGCTCCTCATTTGAAGGCCTGCGTCAGCCAGTTTTCACAGTGAACCTTTGGCTTGTCTGGGATGAAGAAGGCAGCACCGACGGGTGTTCGATCCACTTCGTTGGTGCTCCCCTGGACATGAGCAGCGACAAGCTCTACTCCATGTTCGAGGAGTGCTGTTCGTGGGATCCACCTCGACTACTTCCAGAGAGGATGGTTTTGCCTGTCACCAGGAATGTGGGAGGATCAAGAGCTTCTGGCTGTTTCGACAGCCTGCCAGAGTCTCAGGTGGCGCACACTCTCTGTATTTGTGTTTTAATCTGCTGTCCGTCTACCCCAACTGCTCAACAGGCCAAAGCATTTTGGGATGCACGGCAAAACTATCAACTCGGCTCATTTCATGCGTGTAAGCGTCGAACTGGCCCAAACACACATTCCTTGCACATCGGCTAGTTCGTTCAGGATGGACGGTCCCGTGGTCAGGGCCTCGTGGAGTATTCCTCGCAGAAGGATGCCAGGCCAGAGAGTCCATCTGCGCAGGAGCTTCCGTGTCCTGTCGGCGTGTGCCCTGCTTGTAGGTCCGCCATCAACTACTTGAACGGATGGTTGATCGGTTCCTCCACGCTGACGGTTCAGGTTCTTCTCTTCGCTTCACTGAGTGTCTTCTTTGCAGACTCAGCTGGACTAGGAGGATCGAGTGGGGGCGTGCCCACCTTATATGGCCCAGCTCGAGAAAAAAGGGTCATGAGTCGTCATCGTGGCTCATCCTTCAGGTCTGCGGAGTCGCAAGGCGTCCTGTCTGAATGAGGGTGCTGTTACAGCTAGTTTTGGGCGCTCGACCCAGCTTGACACGTCATGGCGGGTATCTGTGCTGAGGCACCTGGGCAGACAAGGCACGTCCGTGTTTTGATGATGTTATCCGAAGGAAACGTCTCGCCTTGGCAGGGAGAGGATTGGTGGGATGGTCACTCAGGTGCCCTCTTTTTCTCACGTGTGCGCATAATCCACGGGGTGCGCCAGTATTCTTCAGCGGCGCTCCCAGCCAGCTGCCGGTCGGAAGAGCTGCGAGCTCAAATGCGTCGGGAAGGCGTAAGCTTAATCACGGCCGGGAGCAATAATAGATTAGATAGAGATTAAGTTAGGTTAGGTAAAATTATTATGGGACAAAGATCGTATTTAGACTACACCAGATCCTGTTGGATTCGTAGACTCAAAGGTTCTGTTGCGAAGGGAAGCAGGAATCAGCCTCGGGCAGATGCCTTTGCCAGGTTAGTGCAAGTAAGCGGCTTCATGGAGTCTCCTCATAGCACTGCTGCGAGCTGGAGTCGTTTGCTGAGGTCCAGTCCTATTTTCGAGAGTATGGCACAGTGCTGAGACCCAACAGTACAGGCATGCTGCTAAACTTGTTGATCAGTCGACGATGATTTGCAGTATGGCTTTTAGAGACGAAGCAGGACCGCATGGAGCATGGACTGTTCGACTGGAAAGGGGGCGACTGTGCATGGTTTCAGACAGAGTTCTCTGCACGAACATCCCTCTAAAGCACACGGGACAGTTGAGTTCGTGTAACAATGGCCTTCCGGTCAACCAGGCATGTGGATGCCAATTGACTCGTGTGCTCATACATGGCATCAGAAGCCTTGCCGCAGCCATGGCGGCAGCGGAGGATGACGCCGTGACGGAGCAGAAGGAGCTCTGTCGGTGCACTGGCCAATTTGCCACTCTTCCGTCGGATTGGTCAAGGATGAGTCACAAGAGCCACGGAGAGGTGCACCGCACGTGTGGTCAAGTGCAGCCAGGAACATCCGAACGTGTAACATGATGTAATGTAACATGCACCTGAATTGAAAAGCCATTTTGGCTTGAAGCTTCTAGTGCGCATCTTGAGCGGCAGCCATCGGGCGCCATGGCCTCACTCTCCTATTATGCAGGAGGTGAGTGGATGAACTTCCCCTATGGCAGCGAGCCACGGAAACCGAAGGTCGAAGTCCTCCATGCGACCAAGGAGCTAGTAAAGTTTACCCTCAGTGATACGGACGTCAGTGTGGCGAACTCACTTAGACGGGTGATCCTTGCCGAGGTTCCGACCATGGCCATCGAAATCGTTAACATTGAAGAAAACGACACTGTTCTCTTTGATGAGTTCATTGCTCACAGAATGGGTTTGATACCTTTATCTAGCCACGGAGTTGGAGATATTCCTCCGGACGGTGGTATTTTAGAGTTCAAGGATTGCAACTGCTTTGATGGATGTCCGTACTGCACGAGGGAGTTCAGGCTCAATGTGACCAATCGGGAGGACAAGGTTCTTTCAGTTACACATTTCGATATTGAGGAGGACACACAGCAGACGAAAAGATTTGAGCGACCAGAGTGGCCGCACTTCAAGAAAGTGCGGTGCTGTCCTTTTCGGGACCCTACCCTAGATGAGGAAGCAGATCACAAAGAGAACGGCATCATCATCGCGAAGATGAAGAAGGATCAGAGCTTGAAGATGATCTGCACAGCCCGGAAAGGTATTCCAAAGTATCACGCCAAATGGATGCCAGTGGCAACCTGCGTCATGAACTATGAACCCATTGTTAGCGTGAATCCAGAAGTTGCAGCAAAGCTGACACTAGATGAGAAGATAGACTTCGTTCAGTCTTGTCCTCGGAAAGTCTTTGAGATGGTTGAGATCGAGGACACGCACACGATTGAGGTGGCCAGACATGAAGACTGCATATTTTGCGACGAGTGCACGACCAAGGCCAGGCTTCTGAACAAGAAGGATCTTTGCACTGCAACGATGGACACGTCGAAATTCCACTTCACGGTTGAGGCTGTGACGTCAGACGGGCCGCGAACAGCTGTGGATGTTGTCCGTGCAGCGCTGCGAATACTTGACTACAAGCTGTCGCTCTTTCTTAAGGACGCATACGGGGACGACATCCAAGATCACCTGCCGTTGGAACCAGCGGTGCGAGAGAGAACAGGCATTTAGGTTGGAAGAATGCAGACATTCCTGGCTCAGGGCAAAAATCACTGGCAGAGCACTGTGTTTGGAATTTCAAAGCAGGGCTAACATAAGGGTCGAGACCTCCATGAGTTCCACTCGTTTCGACATCAGACAGGATGCACGTTTAAGGCACTTGTAGCGAATATGTTTTCAACAGCAAACAGCAGATTGACAAGCGTAGTTGATGCACATGTACTTTTCGGCCGGCCGGAAGATAGCTCATGTACATGCACAGAATCGTGGCTTCGCTTTAAGATCCCCCAACCTGTGTACCGGCCCATGCTATCTTATCAGCTCGCTTTGCACCTGGTATTTGATGTGACGAGGTGCAGATGGCGGCAACATTTTCCTGTTGGGAGCCAAGCTGTGCCTCACGACGGCTGAACTTGTCCGAGCTCATGCACAGGACGTGCCTACGGATTCGATTCGAGGAGCGGGGGAGCTGGTCCAAAGCCCTCGCAGATCCACCGCTGCAGGTTCGACTAGTGTTCCGCGGCAGTATAAGGTACATAGCTGACAGCTGTGAGGCAGAAGAGCGCGACAGTGACAACCTGGAAGGCACATATTTTTTGGGGAATCCTTGCACCAAGAACTGAAATCGGAAGAGCTTGGGTGTAGGCGTGGCGACCGCAAGGATTGGCACCGAACCAGGCAAAACGTGTTGCTTCCCGGTGCTCGGTTTCGCCAGACATGCTGATCGGTCCTTGAATCGTTGCTAAAGAGTTGTTGGTTCCGCCTGGTTCCAGAATGTTCCGGACGAACTTTCAGTAGTCCGCCGACATTTATTAAACCTGTCGCGGGGCTTGCTGCCACGTTGAGCTTTCGAGCGATGTTGGGGACGGGACGGTGTTACAACGGAGATCGCCACCTTCAGCATCAGAGGGCCCCTTGAGATGGAGGAAGGTCACACAAGGGTCGAAAAAGGTAAAGCCATGAATGTTCATGCGGTCATCTGCCGTGATGTTAGACTTGCAAAGGTAAGATGACAAGAAACATAGCCAGCAGAGAATCAAAGAAGGAACCACGCTCTAACGTCGATAGCTGTGGCTATCTGTGACTCCCACAGGCGGTTCCCCCTTGAGCGCTGGGACGCCGGGACGCTTCAGAAAGGACACTACAGAGACTTTGCAGAGAACAGAGCGTGGATGTGAAACAGAGGATAAGTCGCCGCCGACCTTTCGACGTGGGCTGACTGTCCCCTTGAGGCTGGACTGATGGTCCGAAAACTGTAGTCATCTTTGTCGGGGTCAGGTCCGCCGAGGATGATTCTTCCAGCAGCAACAGCAGTCCAAGTCCACGTAAGCTGCGAAGCAAGCTGTGCAACTTGGCCTTCGGCCCAAGGCTCAGATGAGTCTGTCCGTGAAATTTCGACATTACACGGTGTCCCATGTCATCAGCAGGTTATGCGAGTGAAGCCGTGCTATTGCAGCAAAGCCACGTGATTTCCAGCGGCTTCTGGGGAAGAGCTCTTGGTGGTGTGATCCTCAGACGTCCATATAGATGACGCAACCAATGGGTTGAAGCACAGAATCCGCTCGTGTCTCTTCCCGGAAGCTGGGAGTAAGTTTGCATGTAGGAGAGGCGTGTGGAGTGAGCCATAACAGCATCGCAGTGCAAGCCCATATTCACCAGGGTATGCCACGTTTCCAGCTGCCGGCATCTTCGAATGCGAGTGTCAGCGAGCAAGCAGTTTGAATTCATCTTGTGTCATTCAACATACCAGAGTCCCGACTTTCTTCAGCGATCAATCCAGGATGTATTCAACGTGGACGTCTCAATTTGCGTGGCGGCATCATGACAAGACTGCAGAACCTGAAACATTTCGTAGACCTCTTGTCTCGTACTGAGAGTTCTGTCTTCGCAATGCCACAAAGGCAGATTTGCCTCTTCAGGACGTGGGCAACAGTATGACCTAGATCCAGCAAACAGAACTTTAACATGTATGACCTCGAGCTCACTTCGCTTGTTGCTAGCACTTTGCGCGCTTTGAGGCAACGACGTTGCTGGTAAGCACCCTCAAGTACCTTCGGAGCCTCCATGTGGAGGCGCACGGATATGCACGGATAGCAACATGACACACCTGTGTAGTGTTTTGTGGATGAGGCTTGGCAGTGACCGCGAAGCCCCTCAGGCTCTCTTGCAATGTGGCAAGGCCCGCCTGTGTTCTGTGCGGCTTTTGCGAGGCCACTGAGGGGTCAGGCCAGCCGACCATCCCGTGGACTGCCGTCGGCACGAGCTGCATATTACTTCGAGCTTGAGGCCTGGAGATACAGAAAGAGAAGGAAGACGAGCCATGACTTGGCAGGTGCTGGAGACAGATCCGGAGACCACCAGCACCTTGTCGCCGGAACCTGACTTTCCTCCAAGTTTCGATTTGCACAGCTCGGAAGTTGTGAAGGGCATTCAGAAAACACCACACAAACACACTGCCTCAAGGCTGGGGTTCTGCTTCTTTGCAGGGAAGAAGATGCAGGCGCAGAGAGCAAATTGCCGGCAGGGCTGCATGGGGGAGAATGACGAGTTCACAGCTGTGCCCTTGCCAGCTGCCATGTTGGACATTTCGTGGGAATCTCTCCGATTACCCCGTGCGGACAGAAGAGTACTCGTAGGGTAAAAGCTGAGCTTTTGCGGGCGGGCGTATTGCAGATGCCAGACATCTTCGTCTGACGGTATTTGCGTGCGGGCGAAGATGAGCAAAGCTTAATGTGGGAATCTCTCTGAACGTGAGGTGAGGACGCAAGAGTAGGGTAAAAGCTGAGCCGGCAACTGGCATGTTCGTTCTTGCATCCAGGGCGTCTGTCATTTGCAACGGCCAGGCTCAATGCAGGCCTGAACCTAGGCAGTCCATGGTTTGCAGCAGTCTTTTGTGTACCTGCTCAGCATTTTGTGGGAATCTCTCTGATTTCCTGGTGCGCTTGTTTGCTGGGGAGAGTTGTGCTCATGGCTTGCGAGTGCTGCAGACGCCAGACATCTTCATTTGACAGTGGTTGCGCGCAGGCGAAGATGATCAAAACTTAATGTGGGAATCTCTCTGAACGTGAGGTGAGGACACATGAGTAGGGTAAAAGCTGAGCCGGCAAATGGCATGTTCGTCCTCGCGTCCAAACTTGCACAGTTGAGACGCTTGTTATGTGTTGCGGCCAAACTCCATGCAAGCTTGAAGCCAAGCAGTTGATTGCCCGCAGCACCGCGACGTAAAACCTGCTCAGCATTTTTTGGGAAGCTTTCTGATGTTCCCGTGCGGATGGAAGAGTAGGGTAAAAGCATTTGCCGGCGGGAGTT